ATATTTAATATAATTCCTCTACTAAATACAAAAATCAAAGTAGAAGAACCTCACAAGCGCCGCAAAATTCCTTAACGACTAAACTGTCAGACCTTCGGCCACACAAGGAGCTACTGTTCTAATTCTCCTTGCTATGTTAAATGTGGCGGGAATCATCCTACCACAAGTTGCACCAAATCATTTGACTTGCCGACAAAAAGCGCCTTCTGCAATGACAAACATCCCGCAAGCTACAAAGGTTGTACTGTATACAAAGAGCTTAAACAGCGTCGCCGCCAACCTTACAACTAAAGAAATAATAATCAGCAGCAACAACCACCACCTACCAATTACCAAACACAATCTATCAACCAGCCAACATCACATCCATCGATGCAAATTCCAAGAACTCAACATCACTTATACGCAAAAGCGGCAGCTACTAATACAGGTAACGCACCACCGCCCAACTTCCCCGACACCTAACAAACATCTAGCATTGATAACAATGTACTAACTTAATTTTTAGAATTAACTTAATTTTTATATTTTTATAATAAACCCACTTTATCTCTCTCCTCACAACAGTCATGACCAATCTTTTAAATGTCAAACACAACATATAACTCATACGCTAATAACTCCGTCACAATCCTCTCATGGAACGCAAATGGCCTAAAAATCACAAAGATGAATTCTTAACCACACTCCAAGAAAAAAGAATTGATATTGCACTAATATCTGAAACGCACTTTACAAACAACTACTCACTTAACCTACCACATTTCCGCTCATATCAGACTAACCATCCAGATAGAACTGCACATGCAGGTGCTGCTATTTATGTTAGATCATCAATCGTATCGCACCAACTTTTTAATTTCCAAACAAATTACATCCAGTCTTGCTTAGTATCTATATCAATTTGTTCGGTCCTGTTACATATCAACCATAAGGCGTAGTTGGTAACACTACCTCGTGTCCTGGCGTGGACGAGTTGGCAACGCGTATAGTGATCGTATACGTTTTCTCCTTCTTCGCCGCCAACACAGGAGTGTAAAAACACAATCTAAACTGCGTTTTATTTTATTCACTTTTTCGTGGGTGTGTGTGTTTTGTGGTTGTATTCCGGATGTACGTGCGCCTTCGTCGCCATTTTTCTATCGCCTTCGTTTTTTGAACAAGTAATACGTGCGCCTTCGTCGCCGTTAGTGAAGTGCGCCTTCGTCGCCCTTTTTGGTTTATAATACGGCGCCTCCGTCGTCGTATACTCAATACGTGCGCCTTCGTCGCCGTTAGTTTAAATGCGCCTTCGTCGTCTTTTTGGATTATAATACGACGCCTTCGTCGTCGTATACGCAATACGTGCGCCTTCGTCGCCGTACAAGTGATACATACGCCTTCGTCGTGTTAATAAGTGAACTACACTTGGTGAAACTTAGTTTTAGTGTGGGCGTGGATAATTTCGGATACCAGTCATCGTGGCGCCGTTTGGAGACAGGTCAACCTTTTAATTATTTTATGAAACCAAATATATTTGTCCTGTGCGCCCATTGGGGATATTTATTTTATATTTATTTTATGCATTATACGTTGCTTCTCCCCCCTTTGCCTTTAGTTAATAAGCTTATTCAATGTTTATTTAATTTAATATAATAAGATTTTGTATTTGATAAACCAATAGCTGATCATTTTATTATATCCCTCCTCCTTCATCCTTTAATTTTCCATCTATACGTGTGGCAATCGACCGGATTCTGCCGTGGCGATAAGCTCTCGTAATATACACCTGCGAGAATTTCGCGCGCACACAATTAATAGTATTCCCATCTCAATAGAAGCTATATACTGTCCTTCCAAACACACCATATATTCAAATCAATTCGATATTTTTTTTTCATTCACTTGGCCATAATTTCTAACTAACCAATACAATACACCACCGTTACATTCTCAAATCAACTGGGAAAATTTTCAAAAATCAATCCTACAAAAAAAACTAGTCTAAAAGTCCGGCTAAATACCACAGCTGATATTGATGACGCAGTGAATCTCTTAACATCCATTATACAAACCTTTGCATGGGAATCAGTACTACTATCGAAACCACACACACCCACCACAATCCCTCCTTCATATATACGTACCCTTATAGTACAAAAACGTCACGCTCGCTGTTTATGGCAAAGAACTAAATATCTGGCTGATAAATGTCACTATAATGCACTCGCATAAAATTTCAAACGCATCCTAGCAAATTATCGAAATTAATCTTACATTTAACATTTAAAATCACTTACGATAAAAGACGGTTCTCTCTGGAAGGCACCGAAACCACTTCTTCGCGTGCAGTACCCTTCAGCTATCCTACGCGACGCAAGTGGTGAGTGATCATGCTACTAACTAACATTTTTATAACGACCGTAGTGACAGAAGTTGATTTTCCCTGTATGTTCCTTTGCAGAAGAACCCCCACGTCTATGAATTACGATGGTAGACAATTTTATTGAAGTGCAACTTAGTGAAAATTACTTAAAATATGTTCTGCTACTACATCTCGTTCTATGTAAACTTTTTTTAAAAATATCAGTTGATCATTTCTCTATATATTATTATGATGTTTCAAATAATTATTCAAATTAAGTTAAAATTTTATTTATTGTAAATATTCTAAGTTCAAAATATTAATTTCTTTAGATAAGTTAATTGGCGTGAAAGTGCTTGCTAAGATCGGACTATAACACATCTGACTCTTGGTCTTTTCCATATTCTGTTCTTTAATGGTTTTGTGATACAGTGGCACCGAACCGCCCTAACAATTATTGTTAAAACAATAGCTTAAATAGGGTGGGTGGTCCTAGGGGTTTTGCCCCAAATAGTCATTAGGACCTTGAGGCTGCTCATATAACGTATCATAAAGTAATATTGTAATAGTATAATAATAACATTAACTTAATAACTAATTCATTAAGAAATAGTGGCTGCCAGTAGGTTAGTTTGCGCACGGCGATCCCAATAGCTACCGAGTTACAAAAATATATATACATATACACTATACACGGCAGTTGTGACCAGCGTAGGGTATGCAACATACTTGTTCGCGTAACTTGTTGGCAACACCATTAGTAACATGTTGCCAACAAAATGTTACTTTGTCTGTACCTACCTTAAAACCGACCTTGGTGATCTGATGTGGAGTCTTGTTCATCAGCTGTTCGATGGTCAAAAGTGTAATGCGATAAAAATCCAAGAATGTTTAAATTCGTCGTCGTTATACGTTCATTTTTTTTTCATTTAAATTTTGATGACTCGAAAACTCCTACATACTCGACGGCGCTCGATCGGAAGGCGGTTATTTGTACCCTAGTCAAAGGACACGAGGCCAGTCGTGCCTGTAACCCAAGAATGTACTGCTCGCCCAAATTCTTGCCAAGACTGTCTCGACGGATGTCTATTGTCGGTATTAAAACGTGAAGGCAAAAACTAAACTGGGCAAGTACCCCCTGTTTTTTCTGCCCTTGAGCGGCACTGCGATTACAATATAATACTACAAAAATGATCTGCCAATATTATCTATAATTTAAGAAAAAATAATTACGAAAATTTTATTTAATTTTACCTTCAAATGTATAATAAATAAATAAACAGATTACCTTCAGTAGGCGCCTTAGTATTTGTAACACGAATTAGGTGCGTATGAACACGGTTAGTGCTAACGGCACTTTTCGAATTTTCATTATTAAAAGTGTTTATTCGAACTGTAAGTGAGAATTCCAGAATGAATAATTTATTAAGATCACTATAATTATTTATTATTAGTTTGTTTATATTAAAAAATTCATATACAGGTATTTACTCTGAATCTAATTTTGTTTCTGAAACCGATTGATAGAATTTACATATAGCATTTGTATGTTCTTTGCAAATACGGTTATTACATAACTTACAGCATACCTAAATATGACATACTATTTACGGGAAAAATATCTTTCAACAATCAATAATAGATTTTGCGTCTCGAGCCACTCTTTTTACACGGAGTTAATGTAGTACTTATCCTTGATGAAGATGGATTTATGTTTACTTCAACATCTGTATGGGACTCTGAATCAATCGTTTCGCCTGTATTTGTACGTACAAAATTTGGATCAGCGTTAGTACCCTTAGAATCATATATTTTCTTCTTCTGTTTCATCTAACCAATTACATACATTTTGCATACCTACTTTCAGCCATTATGATGTGAAATAATCAAAAATAAAATGCGAGAAAAATGCATAAACAATAGCTCACTTTGTCGGAAGTTCCGACTAGGAACTGACAATTTTAATCTATTATCATTTCAACACAATACTATGAATTGGGTTATTTTATTTATAAAAAAATGGCAAGGTATGATAACATAAGGTATAAATATATGTCAACAATATAAGAATTAAATAATAGACAATGTTGTCAAAAATAGTATTCCAGTGAGCGTCGCGCTCAAACGCGACTACTGACGGGTTAAGACTTTAAACTTCAGAATATATCAATATGTATATATTATTGTAAGTGTTGTATAATTTATGTACCTCTATTATAATTAGTATTTTAGATAATATATATATATATATATATTATGGTTTTCACTAAGTTTCGGCCTAAATAAATTTAATTAATTTATAATTTGATATTGCAGACAAATTAAATTTATTTGTTATCTTTATTCTAGCCACAGTAAAATAAAACACTTTTATACAGAGCTAAAAACTTTTTATTGTTTTATTAATACATCTATTTTTTTTTATAACAATTATCAATTAAATCGTTTTAATCACGGTAATTATTACAATTATATATTTGGTTAATGCTAATATTTTAAATACTAATCAAGGTGATTTGACAATGATAAAATATTTTCCCTCTCCAACCACTAATAATTATTGAGCAACAGACACATTATTCTCAATAAAATTTATTTATTGAACGTTTTTTAAACATAATTCATCAAGTACATCAAAGTTAAATATTATTTTTAAATCCAGATTACACAATAAAAAAAAAAAAATTAAATAATTCTAATTCTTACATATTATAATTCAAATTGTTTTAACAACTACAATGAAATGCAAATTCAAAACATAAACTTTCACATACTATCGGAAGTTTTCATATGAATTTTCATATGATTACGAATTGACCATTTTCGAGAAAATGACTTGTTACAAATATTACACATAAAATATTTTTCTTCAGTATGAAATTTCATGTGTAATTTCAAGTATGATCGACATGAAAACGATTTATGACATACTTCACACAAATAAGTCATTGTACGGGAATGAATTTTTGCGTGATTTTGTAATGTTCCTAAAAGAGTAAATGATTTATCGCAAATATTGCATACGTGAGGCTTCTCTCCAGTGTGAATTCTTAAATGTAATTTCAAGCATGATTTGTACAAAAATGATTTGTTACACACATTGCACGAATAAGAAGATTTTACAGATTCAACAGCATCATTGTTCTGTTCTACTTCTTCATTATTTGCTGATTTTTGAGTTATGATTACTTGCGTATTATGACTTTTCATGTGTAAGTTCAGGCATGATTTATATAAATAAGATTTATTACACACATCACACGAATAATGCTCTTCAGCTGTATGAATTATCATGTGTGATTGCAGTTGTAATTTCAGATTAAATGATTCAGAACAAACGTCACATAAATAAGGCTTTTCTCGTGTATGTGTCAGCATATGTTGATTAATGTGCGATTTTTGAGAGAACAATTTGTCACAAACATTGCATAAGTAAGGACTTTCCCCGATATGATCCACCATATGTGTTTGCAATTGCACTTTTTGAGTAAAAGATTTGTCACAAACGATACACAAATAAGGGTTCTCCCGAGTATGGGTCATCATGTGTAAAAGTAAAGTACCTTTTTTAGTAAACGCTATATTGCATATTTTGCATTGGTAAGACTTTTTTCCAACATGATTTTTCATGTGCGACTGTATACCTCCTTTTTGTGTAAATGAATCGTTACAAACATTGCATATGTATGACTTTTCTCCAATGTGAATTCTTAAATGAAATTTTAAAGCTATGGGGGAAGTAAAATATTTATTACACTCGTGACACTTCAACTCTACATTTTTGGTATTTTTTTGTTGGTCTTTAAATGCAGTATCTTTAATAACTATACTTTTGTATTCATATTCATCAATTATATCACGCTCAGTTTTTATTTCACAGTTCTTTGCTTCCAACATTGATTCAGTGTTAACCTTTTTCCTGAAAAAATTATTAAAATAATTAATTTTAAGAGACCGACAATTATCTATATTTGATAATCTAGTTCATTAAATGTAATTTAAATATAAATATATATATATATATATATAATTAGAATACAAAAATAAACTTTGTTACTAACTCCATACATATAATAATAATAATAATAATAATAATAATAATACTATATTAATCAATACATAATACACGGATCCCAAAGAGAACCATCAATAACATTTAAAGAAAATAATACTAACATTGAAATATATTAGCAAATAACGTGCTATTTAAATTGAGAACGCAAAAATACCTATTTGGTGAAACTAACTTTACATTCCATCCTACAAACAACAAGCAACATCGTTGGTCAATAATAATAAATTGGTACTAGTAACTGTTGTACTGAAATTGAAGATCGAAAATTAACTCGAAGATTTTTAAACTAATAACGGAAATGTACCAATGATAAACTAATAAAATGTATTACTCAAATACAGTGCTGACTTGGTAAAATTAAAGAAGGGGGACTCTGTTTGCTTTAAAAAAAAGAGCGTTCCCAAAACTTTTTAAGCGTTATAATTATAATGTAATAATAGTAGGGAGACACTAAATTTTTTGAAAATTAGTTAGGGGTACTCCGTCCACTTGCGTCCCCCCACAAGTCGAGTACTGCTCAATTATTGATATCGTATAGAATAAAAGTCATGTGCGATGACAATAAAAATGTATTAAAAGAAAATTATTCGGTTATTTTCAGTTCATTATCATGGGGAATTATTTCAATAAATAGAATAACCAATATGTATGTAATATATGATTACAAATAACCCAAAAATGGAATTTAAGTATTCTGGTTAGGTTAGGATATTTTGATTATTTTTTGTCCGTATGCGTATTCAAAAAAATTGAAAACAACAATTTATCTATGGACAAAGGATATATGATTAAAAAACTCCAATTTTTATAGACATGCTCAAAATACCGTTTCAACAAAATTTTAACTAGACAATACTACACAATATTTACTGCGATGCACTATAAAAAATAAAATATAAGATAAGCATCTGAAGCAAAGACTTGATCTTTATACAGCCCTAAATGAAATAAAGATCTTACTAATCTAATTTGAGCTAAACCCGGTGATGTGTATGAGAGTCTATTCATATGGAACCTTGGTTATTTTGGTAATCGAGCAAATTAGATCACCAAATACATATGAATATAGTGGTCTATTGCTCGATACATATATATATAGTTAAATATATAACAATTTTGATAAAATACAAAATAATGATGTCGTATACAACCATAGGTGTTTCTAATACACATTCAATGAATGACTTATAACCAAGACCATTCAGTAGATATTCAACAATTTATTTAAATGAAGTTAAAGAAAATATTATTATTATGTTATTATAATAATGTACATATTTTGATAATTTAAATTTTTTCTGGAATATTACAGTACATAATTTCTTGATAATATTAATCAATTGAATAATTTTTTACTGATTTTGAGCAATTGGTCAGGAATTATTAATACTAATAATTTAACAATTGCGTTTGATCACTAACTACGTGAGATTATATTTTACGGTTAGGCATCAAATCTGTCACGATTATGTTTTCTCCTTGATCGTATTATTCTGACCAAGAGATGCATCAAAACTAAATATCACTTCAGTGACTCAATGTATGTAAGTCATCCGCCTTTGGCGTTTAGATTCATGGACTTATACATTTCGCACCGTAAGATCACATGATTTATTAAACCAATATACTTTGCTAAAACCAACCACGAAGAATCTGTGATGGCCGAAGATTTTAAACTGCAATAAAAAAAAAGTTAACATTTTATTAACATTTTCGAGAAGACAGTAGCGCGCCAATGAGGATTTTTTAGAAGTAGCTTCTTTATGACAAAAATTAATTGGCATGTGGTGTCGTGCAACAACTTTTATACGAAATTTTACCATTCGAAACAGGAAATACGACTACGTCAATACGAGTAAAAATATTAAACTTGAAATTTATTTAATTAAATTAGTACTAGTATATTACAGTAAAATCTCGATAAGACGGAAATCCCAGTATTACTGAACATTTTTTTTTTAGTTTCCTTTCAAATTACATATAATTAACTAATCCCTTCAAGATGGAAACCCCGTTAACACGGAAAAATATCATGGTCCCAAGGGGTTCGGTCTTATCGAGGTTTTACTAAATAATCAAAAATAATAACAAATTTAAATTATAAAAATTGTTAATTTAAGATGAATATACACGTATATGTTATATTATTTTATCAGAATCAGTTCGATTAGTATTTAAGTATTTAATAAAGCTTCGTAATAATTGAGTTTTTAATTGAGATATTTTTTAAATTTTTGTAATTATATAACTTAGCTTAAATTTCTTAAGACCGTATAAAATTGATCTCAAATATAAGTTCCAAAAATCGATTATTGAAACAAAAATATCAACTGAGATTTCTACAGAAATATAAGAAACAAATGACATTTTATAATAGTTTTTTCTAATGCACTTGAAGGAATCAATTATCTAGTTACTATAGTATAATTAATAGTTATACGTAGGGCTAGGGACTTCATGCCCTTAAAAACCTTAAAATATTTATGCATTTATACCCTAAAGAATCAATAAATATGCTATTAAAGTATGTATTTAAAAAAATTATATTTGTAATAATTTTTTTTTTTTTATAATTTTAACAAAATATATACAATCTGTACCCATTAGGCACAATTAGAATATGTGATATAATATTTTGTACATGAAATCGTGAGGGAAGAAGCCAACCAGTGAAGATACTACCTAATTGTATATATATATATATATATATATATATATATATTTTAAATTATTTGGATTATTCATTTAGTAAACCACGACACCAATTTCTTTTTAGTCGACCTGTGGGGTTGCCTGGAATTGTACGAGAAGCTAAATTGGATATAAGGGGATTAGGATAATATGGAAGTCTGTTATGGAATCTTTTGTAATATGTTATGGCTTCAGCATGAACAGTTTTTATGTTTAGATCTGTGTGCAGAGAGTAGTTGGAGACATATGGTGGGGCTTTAGTGATTAATCTTAAAATTTTATTTTGAACGGTTTGAACTTTATTTACATTAGTTACTTTTGCATTGCCCCACAATTGTAGGCCATAAGTCCACATGGGCTTGATTAATGATTTATATATGAGAAGTTTGGTGTTTAATTTAGTGTGCTTGTTAGATATTAGTGGTTTTACTGAGCGTAGTCGTTCGTTTAGGGCGAGTTTTTTTAGCTTTAATATGAGGTCCCTAGATCAGGCGACGATCAAAGATTAAGCCTAAGTATTTAACAAATTGGGATGAAGGGATTGGTATGTTATTAAGACTTCTGGGCAGGGAGGGAGACGAAGAATGAATGTAGTATGAATTGATTTTGTTTGGTTGACTTTAACTCGCCATTTATCATACCAGACAGACATTAGGTTAAGGTGGTTTTGAAGGATTAAAGAAGCAATGTGAGGGTCTTCATGTACTGATATAATTGCCTTATCATCCGCAAATTCAGCTACAGATGTTGTTGGAGAGGTAGGTTGGTCTGCTATACATTGTATAGCATAGGTGAAAGAATGCCACCCTGAGGGACTCCTGCGCTAATTTTTTCAATATTTGAAAAGGAAGAGCCAAACATGACTTGGAAGTGACGATCCGTAAGGTAAGACTTAATGAGTAAGAAATATTTTGTGGGAAGAAAAGCTTTTAGCTTAATTAGTAGCCATTCATGCCAAACCCTGTCAAAGGTTTATGAGACATCAAGGAACACGCACGAGCAGTATTTTTTCTTTTCAAAAGAACGAAAGCCAAATTGCGTGTTCGGAATTATGTTGTTTGAAAAAATGTATGGCAAAATTCTTTTAAGAATAAGCCTTTCAACAATTTTTGCGAAAAGAGCAAAAGACTCATAGGTCGATATAAAGAGAGAATATCAGGTGGTTTTTTTGGTTTTGGAAATACAATTATTATTGAAAATTTCCAAAGTTGCGGGAAGTAAGCTAGTCTTAGGGAGGCATTTATCAGAACTGTTAGCAAGACAATTGCTCTTTTTGGGAGGCATTTGGCAACTTCCGCAGTTATTAGATCATAACCAGGGGATTTTTTAAGACTGTAGTTTTGAATTGCATTTTTAATATCATTGGGAGTAAAATATTTCGATGGGAGAGTAGGTGGAAGAGGGCTGTCAAGAAATCTGTTAACTAAAGCTGTGTGATGGGGAATGTGGGGTGAAGATTTTTGCTAGGTGATTTTTCAACAATTCAGCTTTAACAGCGTCTGTAGAAGCTAATCCACCGAATGGATTTATAAGCGGAGTATTCGGAGCTTGGTATTGCAGGGACTTTTTTGTGGCTTGCCAAAGGCAATTGTCTTTCGATGACAAATTTGCAAGGTAGTTGGTTTGTGCTTGATTTTTGTGACTAGAAAGAATTTTTTTTAGAGAGTTTGCCAGGTTGTTGAAATTACGCTTGAGAGATAGGAGGCGATATCGTTGATATAGGGCCCTTGCTCTGCGTTTGTTAGCTATTAATATGCGAATGTATTCAGAGATCGAAGGGGAGTGGTTAAAGTGTTGCCTGTGTGAAGTCCTAGCATCCCATGCTGCAGTTTGAATAACATTCGTGAAATTATTAATGGCATCATTAATTTCTTGGGTGGTTTTAAGACTAATTTTAAGGTTAATGTTTCGATCAACCAAGTCATGGAATTTTTGCTTATCAGTGGTCGAGTGGAAAAACTTTGGTGGACAAGAATGAATTGGAGGAGCAGCACTAACAGTTATATTTATAATAATTAATTAAATAAAAAAAATTTAACTAGTAATAAATTATAATAATATTTTTATATATGATAGGTATGATGATCTGAGATAATTTTTTTCTTTTTTTTCAAATTTTTTTTCGTCTTATATTGAGTTTTTATCTAAAACAAAATACTTAAAATGGTTTTAAAAGTAATGCAACGATTATCACAAAATAAGAAATTAATGAAATCTAGTTGATAAATTCAAAGGGAGGTCATTTTTTAAATTTCTTTACAGTTTTCTCAATAAATAAAAAACAATTTTGGATGCCTATATTTTTTTCTTTCTTTGAAAGGTAGAACATTATACCTAAATAAGTAACCTACGTTATTAAGAAATTTAGTTTATCTACTATAACAACCATATTTAGAAATACAGTCGAGTCGCGATAACTCGAAGTTGAAGGGGGATAAAAATTCACTTCGAGATATGTATATATTATTCGAGATATCTAACTAATTTATATGGGAAGAATTTTCTAGAGGAATAAAACACAATTCAAGCTATAAGTTTTTTGAGTTATCTCGACTCAACTGTATTAAACTAATTTATCAGTCCTCTTTTACTCAAAATTGTTTTAAACATAGCAATGGTACAATTTTAAGAGATCCATACCATACCACTTTCATCCATTCATCCCACACAAGAGTAATAACTCACCTGCTCTAGGCTCTAATTTATACACACAGTATAACTTTATAACATCAAAATAATCCGCTAAAATTATCAAAACAATTATCTATAAATACTATGGTAAAGTAGACTTTATTAAAATAAAAAAGTAATATAAAACAGTAGGCAAGGAAAAAAATGGATTATTGTGGGACAGGCTTAAAAAAATGAAACATAATACGTCTCGTAGAACTTTTGTCGAGACAACGGAACCCAAAGCTAAAATAAATATAATCCTGTGTAATAAATCATCCTAAATAGAAAGAGTTATAATATAATGAGAATCTATTATTCACTTAATATTATAGGAAGACATTTCACAAATAAGTTAACATATTATGGGTATTGTCTGGACGTTGTCAGATACGACTAAAAAACTGAGAATCAATAATATACAAAAAGTTATCCAATTATCCAGATGACCGGAAATTGTATAGGATATCCGAAAATTTTTAAAATAAAAATATATAGCTTACATACGTGGTTCATTTTACTAATAATTTTAAAAACAAAATTGCAAGCAAATAACCTCCAAAAAAAAAAAAAAAAAATAAAAAAATAATAAATTTAAACTTGTATATGCGCAATTGTATAAGTTGACTTATATAACATAAGTTTTATGTTTCTTAGACAATATTAATAATTTAAGGATAATTTACTGACATCATTAAAAACAATCATATTCCAAAGTTTTATGCAGATTTCATAAAAATTTACAAGCATAACGACTACCTAAAATTCAACTTAGACTTGGTTAATATTTATTGAAAATAATGTTTCTTATATCTAAGTCATGTTTAAATAATTTTTTTTCTTTCAAATAAATAGTTATAACAACAATCATAATGTAAATTATTACATTGAAACCCCATATACTCAAAATCTTTACTATAAAAACAATAAATTAAAAGTGACACTTGTTAAATAAAAATGGCTAATTGGAAAAAAATGTAAAAAATCGAAAATATCTAGGAAGTGGAGATAAGATTGTGAGTACAATGGAAAAAATTAATTAATTTGATCAAATAATGAAATTATAAAACATAATACAAAGTTTTGTATTTTTTAAATTCAAAAATGAAAAATTACTTTTTTTAGTTCTCATTTTTAATGGGAGTGCGTTATATATTTTTTCTATCCTTGTGTACTTCACTCTTGATCCTCCTAAACGGCTAGACTGATTTTTATTAATTTTAGTGTGCGCGATTCAGTTGATTCAAGAATAGTTAAAATTCACAATTTGATCCGAATGTTATACGCTCACACAAAACAGGTTAACATGTTTTTTAGAACAGGACAACGTTTTTCAGTCCTCTAGATATTTTTATAAAATGTTACAATGATTTCAGTGAAATTGGATTTTTTTTTAGATTTTTTAGATTTTTAGATTCCATCAAAATTGTTCAAAACATACAGTATATATATATACTTCATCAACTACAAAATCACACAAATGTAGTCTTCAGAGAGTTGTATAAAGAACTAATATTTAAATTTAAATATCTTAAATACTATTTTGACAATATTAAAATAGGCTTAGCCATACTTTTTTTGTATAGTCAATAACAATACTATAATAAATTATTGAGTTTTATTTAAAAAGAGTTATTGATTAATATTTAATAACATAATACTCACTCTGTTTGCAATAACTTATTGTCGTCATCAATAATATGTATTTTTTCATCTTTGATTTCCTCTTTTATGGGTAAGTTAAGTAAATCCTTATCACATCTATTAAGTGGAACAATCAATACTTTAGAATTTTCAAGTACATAGTTATATCTAAAAGTAAAAACAAGATACAAGTTAGATAAATTATTTCATTACTCATTTTTACCAAAATCATAAAATAGGTAAATTTTCTAGCAATGATTTATTTATTCATTTCAAACAGTTAATTAAGCTAATAAAAACAAATAGGATTGCAAAAGATTTATTAGAAATTCAACAATAGGAATAAATTAACAGTTAAAATATTTTTTTTTTTTTATTTTTTTTTTTTAGAACCTTTAGTTATTAACTATTACAGTTCAACAATTACAGATAGTGATTACATAAACCAATTAAGAAATTAAAATAACATTGAGGCAATAGCAATTGGTGATAACTAAACGTTAAGTATACAAAAGGTGTTGATAAGAAATAATGATTATTAATTTGGATTCGGGAAGATATAATTAAGGAGAGACGGTATTATTAGATAAGTAATGAGTTTAAGAGTGTGAATAAAAGTGAAATTAATGAAGTAATGAGGGAATGTAATTGTGTAACAAATTGAGATAAAATATTTAATATAGATTCATCATTAGAATTGTTTGAAGTTGCTTCTGTGTATGTCTTGGCCCTGGATTTTTCTTTGTGTCGGGTGTGCGTGGACAGGGACTCCACTGTGACTGGCAAGATCTTCTTTGAGGGCACTAATGGTGGTACAGGTGGTGTGGTCTTGAGGTGACCATTCTTATGATTTTTACGATAAGTGTTCATAAATTTCTTTAATGAAGGACAACCTTTAAAGTTCGCGGTATGTGCGCCAGAACATAACGCACACTTTGCAGGTAGTTCCGAAGATTTGACACAGTCCTTGGTGAATTGGTTGTTGCCGCATTTGACACAACGTGGTGATTCGCTACAGTAGGAGCGAGTGTGACCGTATCGCTGACATTGTTTATATTGAGGAAGGTAACGGGATTGATGGGGATTTTCGACAACTATTTTGGAGTTAAGGAGAGAGGATATTTGGAAGATACTCTGGTTAAAATCCCTTGCTTCTAGGACAACGGTGAATAGAGATAGAGCTTGTTTACTAATTCTGTGGCGGACGTTTAGCACACTTAAGATTGAGAAGCCCAAATCCCGGAGGGCCTTCTCTATATTTCAACAGGAATAGTAGAATGCAGATTACGGATAAAAACTTTGAAAGGGCGGATATGACGGGGTGCCCACGTATGGCATTCTAAATCCGATTCGTTGCAGTAATCGACTAGTTTATTGTAACCATCAAAATTATGAGGTTTGATAATAAGAGAGGAACCCTTGGCGGTAGCCGTAAAGAACAGTTAAAATATAATTAACATAACTGGTTTCTATATTAATCTCAAGGACTTATTTTTATGATATTATTAAATATACTCACTTAGATTTTATAGAAGAATTTTCAATATCTTGATATTTTTCCATATTAGAAAGTACAGCCTCTTTGATTGCCATTGATTACTGTGAACATAAAATAATTTATAATAATTAAAAAAATTGTTATTAAGTACACATTTATTTTGTTAATAATTGTTTTAAAAAAAATTTGTATATAAATATTAAACAATGTATAAGGAATTTTCTAGAGCAAAAGCAAGTAAAAATACAAAAATAAAAAACAATCTAAATTAAAAAAAATGTGTAGAGTTAAAAATCAAAATCTATTATAAAATAATAAATAAAAATATATTGTATTCACATGTCAATAATTTCTATCTTAAAGTAAAGGTTACAGTTATTTAATATTGTGACAATATTCAAATTATATATAGGTATTAAATTAATGTGTTAAATTATACTATGTAAAATATACAGTTGTACCTATAATCTAAAAAAACACAAAAATCCAACTACAGAAAAAAGCTATTAAAATAGATATTAAAACATTTGTACAAAAGCAATGAAAATTAAATTATTTTGAGGTTTTAAAGAGTATTTTAAAATAAAATTTGAAATTCTCTTTTTACCCTCTATCAAATATATGTACTACAAACTTCTAATAAAAATAATTTTAGTATTCTTATTTTATAAAAGATCTTGTAAGTATATGACCATATAATATAATTTTTGTACTATAAACTTAAATTAGTAAAATATGTGAGGAAGTGGTAGAAACCTCCAAGTGGTGTCCCTGGAAACAGCGAATTTATCATATACTAAGATTCCAACAGAATATTTATACAATGCAAAATTCGCTAGCCAATTCTACTATCCACAGTGAAGTGGTAAAACATTGCTTTTCAGGACCAAGTTTGACGTTGGTACCGACACGAGAAGAAGAAGAAATAAAATATGTATATTTTAAATTTTAATGATTAAAAAAAAATTTCTTATTTTCTCGTATTTCTTTTTTTTTATAAAATATTAAATAATTTAAGTGTCATATTTCACTAAAACTACAATACTATTCTAATAGCTTTCAAATTTTTAAACATGCATTAATTAACTAAAATTAATAAATACAAAATTAAACAAAAAGCCATTAAACATTTCATACGAATCATATTAGTTATTCATTAGACTATATAAAGGAAACAAATGTTTATAAAATCTGTACTCTCATTATGCGTTTTACATTACGTTTTTTTTTGTAACTTTTTGTAAGTATTGCTTTCTCCTTCTAATTGTAGATTGTTAAGATCTCTTGGTTTGATAATAGTTTTATTCGAAGCCATTTCTTTATATATTTTTCTTTTTTAAAAAAAAAAAAAAAATTGATAAATAATTATGGGAAAATGTTGTGGAAGTATTGTAGTCCACAGTTAATTCTCTAATGATAATTTAGTATACAAATTCAAACATTTTAAACTTTTAAATAACATCAAGTAAAATATTTTATGTCAATAAATACAATCAAAATCAATATCAAAACTTATTTTTGACTCTCTAGCATTTTTTATACTGATTTTCACCAATATGATCAAGCAATATACACAAAATACAAAAACATATTTTATTATTTTTAAATTATAAACATGATAAGTACTCATAATACTCAAAAACTAAAAGCATATTATATATGAACATTAAAATATATTCATATTTATTTTTTTATATACGTTCAATTATTATTCCCAGCAATTTTATCAGAAAATAGTAAAATTCCTAATACAATTTATTTTAAATATAATTCAATATTTTTTTTTCAGTTCTGTGCGGACAGTCCAATAGTGCGCACACAATATACTCACTCCCGAGTTATGTTCAATTTGTACTTCGGTTCCATGTGGAAATACTTATATTCAACGCCGATTGATTCAACAACCTCATTAATTCTGTCAATTCTGTTTTCTTTTTCTTTTAATAACCCAGGACTTCAAACAATAAATCAGCAAAATTAAGTAATATTATTCATTTTAATATAATTATAATTAATATTAGCAAAACACAGTGTCGCGAAATCTAATAAATACACAGACAAGGCACCGCCACGTGCGGTGACCTTTGGACTGCAGATAACACTGTAATTATGCCATCTAATCAAACAACTGTAAAAGCATAATTGTAACTATACCAAAGAAAAGTGGAGCAAATTCCTGTGAGCAGTTTAGAACATTGAGCTTACTGACACATGTCTCAAAAATCCTAATAAAAATAATAAATCGAGGAATAGAAGAAAAAGTGGAACAATACTTAAAAAATGATCAATATGGATTCAGAAGACAAAAAGGTACACGAGAAGCAATTTTAGGATTGTGAGTGCTAATTGATAAACAGATCGATAGAAATAAAATCACATATTTGGCCTCCATAGACCTGGAAAAGGCCTTCAATAAAATAAATTGGAATAAGATGCTGCATATATTACGAGAAATAGGTATTGAACAACAAGACCTACGAATCATTCACAATCTGTACAAGAACCAGACAGCCTGCATTAAAAAAGGAAAAATCACAACTAACGCTCAAATAAAAAAAGGAGTCCGACAAGTGTGTACGCTATCACCACCACACTTTAACTGCTACATCGAAAAAGCTATATATATAGTGAAAGCAAAGCTAACAAGATTAAATATTGGGATCAAAATTGGTGGAAAAATCGTTTCAATGATACGATTTGCTGACGACATTGTGGTAATAGCTGAGAGTGAAGGTGACATACAGCGTGCAGTTGAAGAAATGGATGAAATACTCAGAACATCAGAAATGAAAATAAATAGTACAAAAACGAAGATCTTATTCTGTGCCAGAAACCCAAAAGTAAAAGATGATGTATATATTGGTAATCAAAAACTGGAACAGATAGAAGAAATGGTATACCTTGGAAGTAAAATCACATCTGATGGCAATAGTGTCCACGAGATTAAACAATGCATAGCATTAGCAAAAATTGCCTTTAGTAAAAAACATAAGTTGCTCACTTCAAAAAAGATACATCTTAATATCAAAAAGAGACTCATAAAAACATATGTATGGAGTATTGCAACATATGGATGTGAAACTAGGGTAATAAATGATACAGAAAAGAAAAAAATAGAAGCGTTCAAAATGTGGTGCTGGATGCGTACGGAAAGGATAAGTTGGATAGAGCGGAAAACGAATGAAGTACTTAGAACAGTGGGAGAAAAACGTACACTCATAGATGCGATTAGAGGAAGATGCTGGAAAATGGTTGGACATGCCCTGAGACACCTGGAAAAATTGCATAATGTAATATTGGAGGGTATGATAGAAGGAAAGAAAACTGCAGGACGTCGGCGGAACTCGTATATAGGACAAATTAAAATCGATGCAAAAGTCAAAACCTTCAAAAAACTCAAAGAAAAGGCGAGGAATCGGTTTGAATGGAGAATTGGAGTTGTAAACCAACCTTCGGATTGAAAAAAAAAAAAAAAAATGAAACAACTCTAAATCGCACCGTACTGACAATTAAAATCAAAAATAATTAAATTATTAAAGATAACAAAACAAATTCAACAAACGAAAATAAACGTATCTTTTAGACCACTTCTTCCCCACTGCAATCACCTTCTGCCATAAACATAAAGAAATCTTAGTTATTAGTCACGCCAAACCGCTTCTCTATCCTTTTTACCGAACAATCTAAAATCGACGATAATAATGATAATGACAATATTACCGATTCAAAAGAAACTTTTAATCAGGAGCACTCGAACACCACTAACCATACACCAAAAACCATTCTTCCTCTAACCATCTTTATTAAAGGTGTTCTCGACTTCATAGCATTAAGAAATTATGTAAAGAACATCATTGAACCAGACAGCTTCTCATGCAAATAAAATTCGATACACCTAAAAATTTAGAATTCAGACACCCCAGACAGTTATAGAAAATTAATCCATTATTTAAAAAATATCAATGCTCAGTATCATACTTACCAATTACAATCTGATATATTCCTAAGAGTTGTTATCAGAAACCTACACCCAACCACACCAGAAGCTGATATTGTCCATGCGATAGAAGAAAACGATCATTCAATAAGAAATGTTACCAATGTTAAACATCACCTAACAAAAACTCCACTGCCCTTGTTCTTTATTGACATCGATCCAAAAGGAAATGATAATGATATTTTCGCTATTACTTTTTTGCTACATACCAAAGTTAAAATCGAAGAGCCCTTCAACACAATACAAAAACCACAATGTCAAAATTACCAGAGCTATGGCCATACCTGAATTTACTGCGAGCATCTACCTTTGTGCGTCAAGTATGGAGAAGATCACCACTTCTCCACTTGCCTAAAATCAAATGACTTTCCAGCAAAATGCGCCCTATGCAAAGGGACACACCCAAGCAATTATAAAGGCTGCACAATATGCAAGCAACTCAGGTGTAAACAATGTAAATAAAATAACATCTCAAATAAATCATCTCAACAAACACCACCATCCAACTTCTCAAGAAACCCAGAACACCACCACTAACAACAGTCAGCCAACGAAAATTCGACTATACCACGTTTGTATGCCAAAGTAACTGAGGGTCACCAATCTCCTAATTTAAAAAATACTCCAACTAACAACAATGAAATCTCTCTTCTCAAATTTATTGCTGAATTTAAATTGATTATTAACCCCCTCATATCTTTCCTTACCACTGTCCTCTCAAGTCACATAAAACCAAATAATGTCAACTAATAAAATAACATCAAACTCACTCCTCATCTCAACTTGGAACTCAAATAGTCTAATGAAACATAAAAATGAGCTATTAACCGCCCTCCAAAATAATAGGATTGACATTGCACTCATTTCTGAAATGCATTTCACTCACTCATCACATTTTAGCTCACCCGATTTCCAAACTTTCAAAACCAATCACCCAGAAAATACAGCACACGCAGGAGCTGCAGTCATTATAAGATCAACGCTATTATTCTTACCTCTACCACCTTATCAAACGGATCATATACAGTCTTGCGGTATATCCCTAATATTAAACAATATTCCTATAAATATTTATGCAGTATATTGTCCACCACCCCACGCAATCTCTATAAACCAATTAAATGACATCTTCGACGTTATTGGAAATAAATTTATAATAGAAGGTGATATAAACGCAAAAAATACGCAGTGGGGCTGTCGTGTAAATAACCCTCACGGAAACACCCTCAAAACTCTAATGAACTCTCTAAACTTTAAAATACATGCTCCTTCTTTGCTGACCTATAGGCCCACTTTACCCAGGAAAAGACCAGACATTCTTGATATATTTATAACCAAAATTCCAAACAGTCTTCATATTTTGACTATAAATCTAGATGATTTTTGTTCTGACCATTCATGCGTCCTCTTAACTATCGATAATGCTCCTTTATTTAAATCTAAAAAACCCAGTCTCGACTAAGGCCGTAAAGACTGGGAAAATTTTTAACTAATTCCTGAAAGTAAAACAAATCTTAAAATAAGTTTGAAATCTATTGATGATATAGATGAAGCAGTAAATATTCTAACGAAATCAATTCAGGAGTCAGCATGGTTTAGCTCTACTCCTACTCCCCATATAAATTATAACAGAAATCTTCCCGCACATGTTAGAATTCTGATCGCGGAAAAACGCAGAGCACGCGCTACCTGGAAAGCTACTAAATATCCGTCTAAATTTAACAACTTAACAAATAAACTTAAAAGACTTCTGGCTTCAATCAGGTCAGAAGACTACACAAAATATCTTAAATCTCTCAATAAATAATTACATTGATATTTTATATAAATATAAATGATATGAGTGTGTAATCTTCAGATACAAACATACAATTTTAGAATTTATCTAAATTGGAATGATGCATAATGCATGTGGAAAAATATAATAATTGCAAACCATCATCCACACTTCTACAAAAAAAAAAAATGAGATAATTTATAATAAGTGGTCAAACTAAATTTAATAAAATAATAATAAAATTCAAATTATTAATTGGTAAATACTCGTATATTAATATATATAAACAAACAGATTATAAATAAAAATAAATAAATAAAAGCTTAGCCTGGAATATTATTATATTTGTTTTTAAATTTGATCTTTAGTAAACTTTTACGTTAACTATATAATTTTTAAAGTTTTACTATTTTTATGAGTACACAAGTATATTGATAATTTTTATTGTAATTATTAATAGATATTAAAATGGATGAAATATTTAAAAAAACAAGTACAAACATCACTATTCTCTGTCTTAACATAATTAAGATGTAGAGCATGGTACATCACAAAATTAGAAATTATGGAATGGATTTCATAGAGAACCAGAAAAAACAACAAATGCCCTGCGGTTTATTATAGCAGACACATTTACAACATGAATACTGGATTCAATCCACATGTCATACTACTCGCTCCTCCCGACTTCGGTTGTGCATCTCCCTATTTCAAAACTAAACAAAAATGTGTTTAATCGAAAATGACTGCATTGCCAAAATATCTCGTACAATACATTAATTCATAGGTCTATTAGAACACAAAAATTAACCAGTGAAGAATTAATGACTTCACCCATGCCAATTGAAGTGACTTAGGTATTTATTAAGCCTAGGTATTTATAATGTTGGATATTTATTCTTCGGATTCGTTCTTCCTTTTGGCACATCATAATTTTAGTTTTTTGCCAGTTGATAATTAGATGATATTTTTGGAAACATCTCGTCATTTCTTCCAGAACTTTTTCCAAATCATGCTCATTACTTGTTAGTAATACAATATCACCAGCAAATCTTAAGAAGGATATTATTTCTGTGCAGTGTTTCTCTCATTTTTTTAATAGGCTGTTCGATATAGATACTAAATAAAATTGGTGAGAGTGGATAACCTTGTCTTACACCCTTCCGAATTATCGGTGTCTCTTTTTTGTCCATTACTTTTATTGTAAACGATTGGTCTTTATATAAATTATATTTTTTCATTCTATAACTATAGTCAGCTCCATTTCTTTCTAAAGTATAAAATAGTTCTTTCCACGACACCTTATCAAAAGCCTTTTCCAGATATATAAACGCTATAAATATGTCTCTATTAAATTTTATTTATTTTTCTAACAATATTCTCAACCTTAAGATTGCCTCTCTAGTACTTTTGTTCTTTCTGAACCCGAATTGATCACCGCTTATCTCTTTTTCTACTATATTCATAATTCTGGTGCAAATTATTTTTATTAGGATTTTGGCTGCGTGTGCCATTAAACTTATCGTTCTAAATTTATTAAATTTATCAACCGTTACTTTTTTAGGTATAGGAATTATAATGCTCTCCTTGAAATCTTTGGGGAACTCTTCCGTAGTATATATATCATTCACTAATTTAAATAGCTCATCTTGTAATTCTGTACTCTCATTTTGGATTAGTTTCATTACTATGTCGTCTATACCTGCTGTTTTATGTTTTCATAAGCTTCAAAGTTTTATTGAACTCGACTCTTAAGATGATTCCCCCTGCATATCTGGGTTTTTATTATTACTGAGATTGGCTGTGTCTTCTTCTTGGTATAGAACTTCAAGATATTGTTTCCACCTTGTTGCTAATTTGTCGTTGTCTAGTATTAAATTTCCATCCATATATCTTATATTACTATTTAGTTACGTTTTCTCCCCGAAAAATGCCTTAATTATGTTAAAAGCTTGATCCATTCTATTATTTCTAAGTAATTGTTCCACTTATTGGCCATGTTTATTAACCAATTACCTCTTGTAAATTTTGCTTAGAAATTAATTTTATTCTTTAGCTCTTTATACCTCCGTATTCCATGATTATTCATGGCACTTTTACTTTCTTTTAAGTTACAGATCGAGATTTTAACGCCCAAATAGGGAGAGAGGTGATGTTTAGACCGACCATTGGAAAAGAAAGCCTACATGATATATCCAACGATAATGGAAGCAAATTAATCAATCTCGCAATCTCCAGAGAGCTACTCATAAGAAGTACATATTTCCCGAAGAAAAATATACACAAGCATACGTGGTCAGCACCTGATGGAAGAATAAAAACTTAGATCGACCATGTCATTATAGATAAACGTCATTAGTCAAGCATTACAAATGTGAGAACATACAGGGGTGCAGATGGCGATCGGGCCACTATCTGGTGGTAGCAAAATTCTCCTTCAAGCTTTCAGCTAAATTGAAAAGACACCAACAAAAAAGTAAGAAGGCTAAATTAGACAGTGACAAGATTAAAAGTGATACTGAAATTAAAACATTTAAACAAAAAGTAACAATGGAACTCGCTAAACACAATACAACACAACTTGAAGATGGAAAAACCTCAACCTCAACTTGGGAAAAAATCAAAAAATCACTAACAAAAACAGTGGAAAACCTAAGAGTAAAAAAAAAAGAAGGAAAAACCACTGG